ACTGAATGCAGAATTAGGAGTCTAGTACATCACCATTACACAGTACGGTAGTGTGGTGTGGTGTGGAGTAACACATCACTAAATAGTGATTTTTATTTATACAGATACAATAGGTGTAAATAACCTCAAGGACAGAGATAATAGTAAAATGAAGTTAAATAATTAATACATTTTGAGTATTTATTTCCTTTGTTTTTAACATAATTTATTTTACTGTGTTTTTATAATTTAATTTTTAATAATGGCTGAATTTAACTGCTTCCCAAAATTCCTGCTTATTTATCAATCAGGTCTGACAAGATGGGACCAGTGAAGCTGGTTCCCTTGCTCAGCTTTGTATCTAATAAGAAGGAATGGAAGGAAATGGTTTACTTAAGTTTGTTTTATTTCAGTTTCAGAAATTGCAAGTAAACCTGCAATTACCACTTTCTCAAGTTGCCAATGAATGAGAGGAAACATGACAAGTAATCCATCAATTTATTGATTTTAAATGACAGAGAAAAGGGAAAGTAGTGACAGAACAAGGACTCAAAATGATCATAAACTGGGAATGGTAGCAGAAATATATAGAAGCATAGCAGACAATTTCAAGACAGTGCCATTAAGTAGAAAACAGTCATATTAAAGTTTAAGAGCTGTCCCTGTAGGAAGAATGCTGAAGATGATTTGTGAGGCATGATAGTATAATGTGAGCCTAAGATTAAAGTGCCGTTAAACAACAGGCATGACACTTAATCAGTATGTCACGTCATTCTTCTCATTGGGGAATGCCTCATTCATTTTTCATCAAAGTAAGGGTAGAGTTCTCAGTTCTTTGAAAAAAAAAAGAAGGGAGAACTCATAAATTGTTTCATCATAGAATTAATAGGATTCTTGAGAAAGGAGTTAATGGATTTAGGAAAACAAAAAATATAAATTAGGAATATAGTTAGGAGAATTATAACTTTAAAATAATTTGCTGGCATATGAAAGATTTTACCAAGGGATATATACCTTTCTCTGAACTTATATTTTCTGTTATTCCTTTTTTACTGGAGACCAAACCAGAGAAAGGAGAATTATACAAAATAGGGTGAGGGTCTCAGATTTCCATGGAAAAAATCTTACTAATGTGACTGCTAGGTATTTTTAAATGAAATAAGAATATGACTATTCTGTCTGAAGGGTAAGAAGTGAATATACACCTTCTGAAAAGGACTCTTCTGGTCTGTGAGTATAAAGTCTATTCTGTACAGTGTCTAGGGCCGGACCCCTGGGCCATGAGCTTCATTTGACATTCTCCATGGCACGTTTATCACTAGTATTTCCACGTCCAACAGAGAAGGAAAAGTACAGCTCAAATTCAGCCGTGTCCAATGGCAGCTTTATTCCTGCATTGAGTCAGAAAGATTGCAGAGGTGAAGGATAAAGATCTGAAATGGAGAATTAAACAGGAATAAAAATAAAGAGAAACCTACCTTCTGACACCAAACACCATGTCAAGAAACAGATAACAGTCTTGTTTTTATTACTTACTAGCCACGTAGCCTAGAGAATTTCAATTAATCATACTGAATTTCTGTTT